GCACTGCAATTTTGTCAGCTGCCGCTACCGGACACCGGTTGTTATTGGTGGCATACATTTTTGCCTGTAACTCATAGTTTTTTTGCATTTTTATGTCATTGAATTCCTCAATTATATCTTGTGCTTAAAGATCATGTTTTCTTTGTTGGAAGTTCGCAATCCATCTCAAAGTAACAACATTGAGAACATAGCATTCTGGCGTTCGTGTAGGCACCTCACGGTGTTGAGGGACGGTGGTTTAGGTTTGTGTGGCGAACGACAATCACCCAACGACCGACGCTCACAACTTGGATCCCACCATTAACAAAAAGCAATATTATAGTTATATAACTTTTCAGATGTTTTTAATTCAGTATTTTTTTTAATATTCTTCCAAAATTCAACCACTATATTTCCCTAAAAATCAAATAATACCGGTTTTATGTATTTCCGTATTAAACCTGTAGTCAATTCATGTTCCAGGGCCACTTGGTTTAGCCGTGCATTATCAACCAATATACCATGGATTGCATATGCAAATTTTGTGTTTGGACCAATCAAATCAATGGATTAACACCATCAATATACTGGTATAATATAATACACAATATGTGTGGGGTCAGAGACATTAAATATTACACAATATGTGTGGGGTCAGAGACATTAAATATTACACAATATGTGTGGGGTCAGAGACATTAAATATTACACAATATGTGTGGGGTCAGAAACATTAAATATTACATGATATGTGTGGGGTAAGAGACATTAAATATTACACATTATGTGTGGGGTCAGAGACATAAAATATTGCATGATATGTGTGGGGTTAGAGACATTAAATATTGCAGGCCATATTACAAGGCTGCAAGACCTGTACTGTACATGTACAAATGTATGTTAAAACTAATTATGTGTATTTGTTTCTTCATAGGTTCCATTGTATGTCAACAAAGTGGGTCCTTATTTCAACCCACATGAAACCTACCATTACTACCAGTTACCAGTGTGTAGACCAGAAAAGGTATGTTGGCTCGCATAAAACCTACCATTATTATTTACCGTTAAAGTAAATTGGTCAACATAAAGCTCACCTTATCTACCAGATACCAGTAGATAGAACAATGAAACTTAAATTAAGAACAATTTGGTTCATAAGAAGCTTGTTATTTTGGAGTATTTCCATTTAATGGATGCTTTCATCAATTAAAAATAGATACATTACTTGCATGTATTTAAAAAAATGTATTTGTCATCGCCATATTTTTCAGAATGCCAAAACAGTAATATTCCCCACTTAGTTGCAGATTGCTTTGTTATACACGTCTCTAGATGGTTACATGATTAGAACTGGTCAGTTCAAACCACTTTTACAAGGATGCGCTGTTCAACTAAATACAAGTGTTATGGCCCCCCACACCAGAGTCCTGACATTTCATTTTGTGTCAGTACATACACTTTGTTTGGATAGCTTTAATTATATATGATTTATACGATTGAATTAAATAAATTGTATGGCAATCATATTGATCTTTTTTTTATATTCAACATGTTTGATTCCCCCACTATTACCATAGTTTGACATCCCTGTTGAGGTTGGTTTTGATCCAACTTTATCAAATCATATAACGATCTCCAGGCATGCATAGTAAACCAGTCAGCAACTTGGCTAACAATCATGCTGTTTTGGTGTTCACAACAATATATGGGAGAAAGTAATATAAATGTTTAACACTATAGACTGTTATTGAGATACCACTAGTATTGAAGTTAATGCTATACCGTTATCATACACATAAAGATGTATAATATTTGTTTGTAGGTAGAACATCGTAGTCTGACCCTTGGTGAAATTCTAGATGGTGATCGTATGGCTGTATCTATGTATGATATTAAATTCAAAGGCAAGTCAAATTAGTTACTGCATATAATGTCTGTCTTTGTTTATCACTACATGTATAAGTGAGTATGAATATATACACTCATAGTAGGGAAGCACATATGATATTGTTTAATGCTATGCTGTTGTTTGCATAGCACTGTGGATTGAGACATACCCCCTCTATCACTGGTTTGTTTCAAAACTGTTTCTTGTCAAATCTAGACCTTTTAACTTGGTTGATAACAATAACATATTGCCAGCTGATGCCATTGTATACCTTTTATATTTGTAGAGAGTTTCAACTGATGATGAGTGTGATCAATCACTCATTATATATGCTCTGAAGGGAGAGATAATATTAGACCCTTTCTGGTGCAGTTCAAAGCGTGGACTTATGTTTTGGCTTCTATTCTGTTCATTTCCTCAACTGGTATTATTCAAAATTTTTGAAGATGAGACATATTTTTACTGTCCAGCTATATGCAAATGAAAACTATATCATAGACTTAAATTGGCTTACTTTTTTTAGAGGATGTCACGGACGGTAAGCTTTGCACAGTTGAATTAAAAGAAGAGGACATTGAACAGCTTAGAGAAGCAATTGAGGATCTTTATTACTTTGAGTTTATTTTAGGTAAGTTACTGAGATATACAGTAAAACAGAGACAGATAAAAAGAAATATACTACTATGTAGGTAGTCAATGAATGAACGAATGGTAATGTACAGCGGTAGTTTGTTTATTAATAAATTACAAAAATAATTACTTTGTTGAAAGTTTGTATGAGCAGAAATTATTGCTGTTACAATCATGTTAATTGAAGAGCATTGCGTTATTATGACTTAATTTTTAGAATTGTTTCCACCTAAATTTAAGCTAATATTTTTAGTCCCCGTTCAGATGCAGTCCAAAAACGGGGACTTATGGTTTGACCTCTGTGCATCCAGGTGTCTGTTCGTGTGCATGCATGCGTCCGGACCTATATATTAGACATGCATCATACATAATATTATACATATGCACATCAATTTGTTTCACGATCTGATTCACAATGGCTGAATGGCGGCCATTTTTGTGCTGAAAAATCATCAAAATCAAGCATTTATGATGGATTTTATGGAAACTTGGACATTATGGGACCTTGATGCATGTCATTTTGTTTTTCAGATCGGATTTAAAATGGGCAACTGGCAGCAATTTCGTTTTAAGGAATGCAGTTCTAGTGCCATATCTCAGACATGCTTGGACTGATTATGTTCAAATTTTATATACCGTACTCGACCGCGTTAGCGCCCATGCCCGGGCAAGCGCCCATCCCTCACTTTTGCACAATTTTTATATTTGGGGTCACATTCGGCAAAGCACCCACCCCTTCAAAATGCAACTAATTTAAAACTTGGTCTTGCGTAACGGATCTTGGTAATCGTTTTTATATGATACAGCGTGGATATCAATCGCTGTGAACATGTTGTGAATGCGTAGAACACAGTAACCGTGCGTATACTACGCTTCGACAATGACCTGTTAATACAAGTAAAATGCGATAAATATTTCATGTCATATTCAGTTTACCTCTCAAAAATGGCTAGTTACTAGTTTTTTAGAAAAACCATGTCGTTTATTCGCTGAAATCAATTCCAACAGATCGTACTTCGACATCGATTATTCACTTCCGCATTGCGTTACCGGAAAGTCTTCGGGAAATTCACTACGTTCAATTACCCACCATAGACTCCGGTCAGTCAAAATGACTATTTTGAACTGTAGGCATTAATCAGCGATTCTGCCGGTGACGGAGAGATAGAATCCAGGTCAGGGGAAGCCCCATGACCTCAAGATTCTTTTACCCCTTACGTTACGAACCCACGTGACCGAGGCCTCCTGGCAGTGCCACAGGTAGCCGTCCTTCACTCTTAATTTCTCTCCACCTCGAGTGGAGATGAAATCTAGCGAGCTCTGCTGGATCGCCTGCTTTTTTTCCTGTCCGGATTTATAGCTTGGGTTGTTGGCGCTGCTCGGCATCCGACATGGTAGCTGGTAGGATAAGTTTTCCTTGTCTTTTTTTACCCTCGTGTCGTTTTCCCCTTTGTGTGTAGTATTTTTCACAGCAAAGAAATCAAAATCCGGCGCCACTACGTAGTCACATGTTGATTTCATGGCGGCACCTTTTACAACTGTAATTCGTCTCCCTCATGCATGTCGTCTTTCATTTTTAATGTAGTTAGCAATATATCGATGTAATGACAGCTCCAAGGCTCACTGCCTTTTTCTTCCGGTCTCCTCGTCTTTCGAGCCGACCGTACAGTGGTTTATTCAGAATTTACCAGCATAGAACCCGCATCCGAGATACTTTGTCGTGGCTACGTGTGGGTTTCGGGTTTTTTTGCGTGAAAGCGTGTTTTTTTTCACTGGAGTTCTGAGGCCTGAGATTTTCTTTCAGAGCCATCAAAATCGCTGACCGCGTCACAGCAAGGTCGCGCGTCCAGTAATCGATTAAAGTGAGTTGCGTGTTTTGCATGAGTGGAAAGTCCTCACGCTCGGCTACCGGTACTTCATGTACCAGGACGTCGAGTAAGAGGCCTGACGGTGGAGGTACCGATATTTTCTCGGTCTCCCCCGCTGATCGGAGGGCATCCTCAGTCTGTTTTTTCAGGCGGTGTGATTACCCGATTTTACCGGCTGCAGCGAGGCTGTGCCCCTGGAGGCTTTCCTCCTATGGGGCCCGTTGCGGGTCTCTTCGTGGACCCTTCCTCGCACGGCGCCGAGTTTGCCTCCGAGTTTGCCTCCGAGTTGAGGGTTTGGTCAAAGGACTGTCGGGGCAATTGCGTCCCTGGCAGGCCGGGTAGATCAGACGCAGTCGGAGCGAGCTGTCTCCACTGTGTCCCCTCGGTGGGCAAGCAGGAAGAGACACAAAAGCATGTTTGCATTCAAACACGTCTCTTCCGGGGAACCCCCGTTCCCAGGCACGGCTCTCCCGTTCCCAGGCACGGCTCTCCCGTTCCCAGGCACGGCTCTCCCACTATTTTGGGGGGTGGCCGAGGCCCAGGCTAATTGCCCCGGTCCTTCTCTGGACCCTCGGACACTGAATGCCAACGGGGTGCTGGCAGCCAAGTCTCCGATCTCGGGGCAGGGATTTCAGGGCAGGGCACACGTTGACCCCCCCCCTACTTTCAGCCAGCTAGGGTTCGTCGCGCGGTAACGGTACAATGGTAACGAGTTTTTCCTTGTGTCCGGTCCCCGCTGTGGGTTTTGACTCCTTCCTTAGGCCTAAAAAAAAAAAAGGTGTGTTTCAGGTAACGAGCTAGAAAAAAATAGGTAGGGTAGGTCAGATTTCTTTTTTTTTTTATTAATCTTTTTTTTTTTTTGCATTCAAACAATTTCGACAAGTTGAAATACAATTTGCTGAAAAAATATAATTAGCATGAATATATCTGGGAATACCCAAATATTAATTGAATTTATATTTTGAGATGATAAATCTTTCTATTGGTCAAAATTGCTCACATGGGCAACTGATATTAGTTACATTTGTAGTTTCAAATTAATGACACCACCAAGATATCAAGTATCATACTCAATGGAACTTGTTGATCTCAGAATTCAAAAACAGCCATTGAGGACAATTGTTGAGATCTAGTTCAACTGAGGCCAACTAAATAGAATGTGAAAAAAGACAAGTTTCAAAGATGTTCAAGTTTTATTCAAGTTTCCATGTTCAATGTTCATTTATTTATAGGGTCTCGTGCAGCATGGGAGATACCCTTCACTGGTGCATGCAGCTCATCTTTCCTTGATACAAAATGTATACCTGCTGCATTCTTCACGTCCGAACTGTAAACAAATATTAAATTGACCTACAACTTGCAAGTGTGTTGTTTTTAGGATATATAATTATGCTATTCTAATTTTTGACTCCCATGTGCGAAGCACAAAATGGGAGTCTTTGCAGTTACTGTGTCTGTATGTGTGTATGTGTGTGTGTATG